ATCTCGATTTCTATTAGGTCAACCGATTTTATGTCAACTTTCTGAACACCAACCATGCAACCTGGTCTAACTCCTCTATCTTGTTAGAATCAATTGTGTGTTCGGACTGAAAACAGCAAACAAGAAGTAGATTTATTGTTTCATTCGGTTCTCATCCATTTCAATGCTTTTAATTTCACTTTCTCCAACTTTAAATGGGGTAAAATTAAATAGATGTGTTAGTAACTTCATTCACAAATCTTTTTAGAAGCTCTGTATGACTTATCGTCCTTCAGTAAACGTGTTTATTAAAGTGATTAGTGCAGGAAAAGCTATAAAAATATTCTTTTATTGACGTAGCTTAAAACTAGTGGTAATTGAAAGAAATCTATAAGGTAACCTCTAATAAGGCTTCAACAAAGCATTAACTGAGTCAAATACGATAGCCAAACGACGGAAAATGTTCGTGTCCCAAGATAAAGCTAATGAACTTATTGACCATTGATGGGATACAGGACTAATCAACCTGCTTAAAATCATATGAATTTGACTGACAGAATAAGAATGACGTATGGGAGCAAAATAATTCCCTTCAGCAGACTGCTCTTAATAGGAATCAACTTCCAGTCCTATCACTTTACGTGAATAATGTACAGAACAATTTTGTGGCCTTACTTAGTAAGATTTAGGTCTCAATACGCATTTTATGAACTTATGCTAGTATTAAGTACATGTTCTATGTGTGAACTTGGAGCACTATTATTCTTATCAAGTGTGCACAGGTTGCATGGCCCAGCACTGTGAAAGAAAAATCGTGCAAAAAAATTTGTAAATGAACAGACCTGACAGTAACCAATTTCGGGGAAAGTGACTGCAAAAGCAATGAGAATCCGCTGGAGAACAGGAAGAAGATCACCTTTGCCCTGAGTTTGAGAAAAGTGAGCGTTCTCTGGGAATGTTCTGGGAATGTCTGGAAAGAAAAACAATGCTAGGGAAGTAAGTTAATCGCCTACCCGCCATGATGGTTGTAAGAATCTTCTTTGGTGGTTGGGAAGTCGAAGCGGTTTCATAGACTTGTGGATGATCTTTCATCATCTTGTAAGCGCCGGAAAGGGTCATCCAAACATGAGGGCGGAACTGAGCGGGAATGCCCTTTCGGCAGAAGCGTTTAACTAGATGTCAAAAAATAAATACGAAAATCACCTACGAAGGTAACTGCGAGATAAATTTCCATTATCGATCACAGATTGCCAACGCGCATATCGCCTCTCAAGAATCACTTGATAGGACATCTTAAAATTTTCAAAGTCCTCCTTCGAAACATACTCAGGTGTTTCAAACCCGTAATTTTTTATCTAAATATAAGCATGGCGCGAAACCTTGCTAGTAATATGATTATAGTGGTAAAACATGAAGAATTATTCTAATTCATTACAGAAACAAGAGCATTAAGACACCATTCTCAGTTAAAAACACAAAAATTGAGGTAAATAAACTATATTATTGCTAAATATTGAAGTAATGTTGTTAAAGCTTAAAGTATTGACAAAATATCAAGATATAATATTAAATAAGCCTACTTCAATTTAATGATGCCCAAAGGTTAGACTATTGAATCGGATTAATTAAATTAAAGGTATGCTTTCTCGAATATCAAAAATGGATAGAAAGCTAAGAAGGTCTTACCATATCACCCATTATAAAATATAGAGCAGCATTAAACTAGGATCTTTAAATATCCTTTCAAGGACAGGAAGGCCTAAATCAATCAAGATAAATGTTACTGTATTTAAGTAAAGCATTATTTTTTAAAAGGCATAATAGTAAGTTTTAAATATGCTTTTTTATTAAACTGTGTGTTGTTTTTTTATTCAATTGAATGAACTTAGGAAGGTTTGATTAAATAACCCTGAAGAATGAGGTATATTTTTCATACACGAATAAATACTACTAAATTACCGTTTATTTATCAATCGGTAGTAATTTTCCATTTAATAAAATGAATATAAATGTTATGCATTAAGTTGATTTTTTAGGCACATGCACTTTTAATTATTTAAAAGATTAGCTATTGCTTTTTAGTCAATAGTTTTTGGTTTAATAATATATCTTATAATTTATTTTGATCAATCTCCCTTTGACGAATTAGGTGAAATTTATTTAGAATTGTTTTGGATGATCACTTTTAAGAATTAATTTTATGCCTTTCAATTATTCTAGTAAAATTTTAAGTTTTAAACATTTTAGAATATTTTCATGTTTTGCTAACGGATTTCTTAATAATATCACGATAACTTCATAAATCCATATAGTTCCCATTATAAATATCAAGGACACATAGAGATGGCGGAACGCAAATATTGTCCCGGACAGTCTACAGACCAAAATAAAAAGTTTGAGCATCAATAATATTCTGTAATTAATTAATTTAGATACAGAAAGTGCATTCAGCAGTGCGCCGCAGATCCTAATACTTCCATCTGTCACTCAAAAGTATGATAACTATTTTCTAAAGTTTATATACCTAAAGCCACCACTTGGCAGTGAATTTAAGAAGATCACTCACGTTAATAGCAATTATCCTAAGCAGAACCCATGTGATTATTTATCGTTTAAGCCGATTCCAGGCTATTCTGGTAACATTCTGTGTTATATTAATGGCTTGTAGGTCATATCCCCAAAATGATTAATAAATATGGTGGAACTTACAGCAGTTTGGCTAAAGAGTGCATTAAAGAGCTAAATGCTGAATGTGAAAAATTTGAAGCCGAACAAGCCCAACTCAATGTAGAAGCTACTACATTCCCTCAACTCCGATCAAATGCTGATTGCTGCAGCGTTAAAGAGCACATGAAGGATTGGTGTGATGACTACTTAGGGAAAAGAAGTGTCGACTGCGATATAAAGGGCCCACTTGATCCACCGACTACGGGCTATGGGGGTTATATTCCGAAAGCAGTAGCTGCAAATATGGACTGTGGTCACACATTTCATGATGGAGCCAAAAAATGCCTAGCTAATTTTCGCACGGAAAATTTAAATCACTTTGCAAGGCTTAAAAACCCCGTAGACCCATCTTCAATGTAAATTATAACTATTTTAACTAAATTTAATCTAACGCGGTTATAAATTTATTTACTATATCATACACACTTTATAGTAATTCGAAAGAAATCGGAAAGCAAGAAAATGGTGTAAATGACGACCCTTGCAACAATCGGATTTTCCGCAAAAGTGGAATGATACCTCACTACGCCGGCCACATACACGGTGAGAATACCAAAAATTGCCTAGTTATCATTTATCGAAAGAAAATTTGTCTCCAGAGAGAAGAACCTAAGTTAGAACCCATGAAAATAATGGTCTGTAATGAATGAGGATAACCGGAGTTTGACTGAACAATCGAAAAATATATAGTTGGCTAATGAAAGAAGGTGCCTGAGGGGACGAGACATGTCAGTTCTAAGAGACGATCACCCGGAATGAGAGAACGAACACAATCAGTTATGCATGAAAATGCTGACTGATTTGAAAGTGTGAATCTAGTTGATAGCAGGATGTACAACTAATCAGAAATCGCCAGGCAACGATTATCCATGGGCTTGAAAAATAGAGGCAGAGATAACCTGAATCAAGTGGCCAGGTGCTATAAACATGGCATTATCTTCTATAACTTTTAGTGCATAGGGATGATTAAGCTAAGCTTTTTGAAACGATTCTAAGTAGGAGGGGGAGTGGGAGGGGGGTCAATAACGTGTCAATTGACCTTAAAGTATTTTTTGTTCTTTAATACTTTTGATCTCCTATCAATATTCTCCATAATCATTTTACAGGTCAAATATCTGACTTCGGCAAAACAGTAGGTGAATCTTCGAGAAACCTGGAGGTCTGCTCCCATTATTATCCATCTTATGGTCTGTACTTGAAGAATAAAGATAATGGAGAAGAGCCATCTCCAAAATGTGATCAATGAATTTTATTTTATATAAGATGTAATTTATTTTATTTCACAATAAATGTGACCTTATTTTGTTTTTTTTACACCTCGAGTCGAATATTCGAACATGACTTCCTATCTCAAGCTCTGCACTAGCTTTAACTTAGATTTAAATGGATCGACCTTAAGCTAAATAGGTTAATTAGTCTCTGTTTCATTTATGGGGCTTTCTTAATAATCTTCCTGAGTAAGGGGTTGACAACATGGGTCCCTCTTGAAATTTATTCCGATCCTTTCTTTCGTGTACTAGATTAAGCAAACATCATATACGTGAATCCTGATTTTGCTGGCGAGCTTGGTAATATCTGCACCGCATAGATCCATTCATGATAGTCCCAAAGCATATTTTATCAAGTGTCCTCGAAACTCATCTGGAGGAAAGAGTGGCATTGTGAAGTCTTCCTTATGGGAGAACTGAGTTGAGTCAAATTCTATACTTACCATTCATAACCAATATGGTGGGCCATTTCGATAGATATGTGGGATGACCTGAATGCAAATTTCAAAGTATAGGACAATAGAAATCATCGCAAAAGTCTTCCCTTGGCCACATTCGAGCATATATTGAAACGGTCACTTACAGCAATATTTTCAATCAACACTTCTATATGAGAGGGCCATTGCTGCCGATGCTAACTAGATTCATATTGTTTCAGTCGAGTCAGTATATATTGACCAAATGAGCAATCTGTTGATCATGCGAAAGGGCATTAGGAGAGAAGAGATATTCAAGCAGTCAGACAATGTTTCCCCCTCCAGTGCAATGCTGAAACTCCGGTGGCCAAACGCACTCATCGCCTCGCAAGTATAACTCTAACGCCTATCTAATAACATGCATGGTTGTTCCTACTAAACTGCCATGAAAAATTAATGCGATTTAAGGCATTCCATTATGGTCTCGTCATTGGTGATGAACTGCCAACATAACCGTTGAATGCATTTTACCCTTTTGGTTTGCTGTGTAGTTTCTCATAACTTACATACTGCTCTACTTCAGCAGACAAGCGCTAGCTAACTCTTCATGCCCAACATTGAGTCAGCATCTAATTATTCAAAGATCCAGCTGGCAAATTTAAAATTGAATTAGACTCAAATTGGATTTATTTAATGTGGTTTTCTCTTTTCTTTAAATAAAAACTGCTTTTTAAATCCTCATTTAATGGATGTGGCAACTGTAAGATTCACTATAAACTTTTAGCTTTTAAAAGTCTTCTTAGTGAAAAATATTTTCCAACGTTATTAGTTCAATAAAATATAGCATTTGAATAGCCTAGCCATCAAGCGGTGTTTTAACGCCTTGATTGTTACAGCTAAACGATCAACTGTCATGAAACACTTGCATAACATGCTATCTTTCTCGTTTTATTTTCTTTTAAACCAATAAGAGAAGTCGCGTCTGATGGTGTTCACTTTAGGGTCTTGCAATATTATTAACTTTCATTTAAATAAATCTTTTCCACCGAACGGAATGTTGAAACTTTCTTTGCTAATCTCTATGGCTATAGCCACACTATTAATTCCAAGTTTCGAATCGCTACCTGTAATTCAACCAATCACTACTCCGATTCTTCTGAAAGCTTACTATTTAATATCTGACGATGTTTGCACATTCGAGTCGCGCATATTTAATGCCACTAAAAGCATAATTAAAGCGGTAACATTTGCACGATCGATTCTAACAAGGGAAGGTGCACTTCCATTCCTGATCACGTTAAATCCCGAACAAATAGGCGGTTGTAATGCTCAAGATGGCAACAGGGCAATTGAAATGTACAAATTTTTAATGCGTTTAAAGGTAAGCTCAGGAATTCTCATTAACTAATGTTCTGTTTTACCTTCAGGCGGATTTAGCATATAATGACAGTTTCAGTGTCTTTCTAGGTCCACCATTGGTAAATGATTGCGACTTGGTTAGCCAATGGATGATTGTTGGTGAACCAACACTGAGTCATATTCAACAACTCTACCAAATCTCCTTTACTTGCCCAGTTCTTGACTTTGCCTCGTTTTATATTGACCAAGTTAAAGATAGTGAAAATGCCAATGTGCACAATACCATTGCTGGCACATCTGTGGTTGTTCAGAGAAAGACTTTCCTCAGAGGTTTGCTAGCTTACCTCCTCAATTCCGGCTGGAGGAGAATTGCCTTGTTGTATGAATTTGGTGCTAATCAAGATGATATTCCTGAGATGTTTGATACTATTTCAGTAACTCTCAACGTCTATCGCACTGATCAGGTTTTTGCAATTGTTAAAACTCAGAGCATTTGGCCTAGTATGAACTTCACAGAGTTGCTATATCCTATTCAGAATAAATTAGATGGTGCGTGTGATTTTGCCTTCCCAATCTGTGACTCCTTTTAGCTGTACTTCTTTTTGCACAGCCTATGCTTGCAGCAAAGTTTCTCCTTGCGATTCGGAATTTATCGCAAATACTGCAGGGGAGAATAGCAATCATGTATACAAATCCTACTGATATGTATACGTATGATTCTTTACACTCTTGGAAGTCCATTCTCGCTAACAACAACCCACTACTGGCCTCTGGGCTTTCGCTGATTATCCAAACTGCTTTACCTAGGGGTACCACTTATGACTCAGAATCCTCACTTTATAATGAGGTAAATGTACGTTTCCATTTATCCCATCTCTTTCAAATAGGATATCAATTTGTCTATAGCCCATGCAGCGGCATTAGCAGTAAAACTTGCTCATCTTAATCAAAATCCTATAACAGGTGACATTCATCCAAATTCGGGGCTTTTTGAACCGCTTCAAGATCTGGATGAACTATATGTTCCAACCCTACCCAACATCACATTTTTCTACAAAACCGGAGAGGGACAGGATTTGCGAGGCATATACGATCTCATCTATTTTACCGTCAAGCCAAATGCCACACACAAAAAGCATCTGGATATATCGAATGCTCGATTTGCTGACGTTTTTGAGTTGATTGCTATTTTGAGATATCCTTTGATATTACCTCAGAAAATGGGTGATATGCAATGGCTCGGAGATGGTGAAGGGCCATTAAAAACTCACTGTCTAGTTGCTGACTGTGGGTTCGGTAGATTTGTATTGTTATGAATCAACTAACTTTTCCCATTTCAGAATCAATACAGATCGCTTTACAGATATTTGCCCTTGGATGTTTAGTAGCATTTATCGCATACTTATGCTTTGAATTCATATGTCGGTTAGTTGGGGTGGTAACGCCTTACATCAAATTGAAATTTTAGACCGTTGAAGAGTAAATCACGAAATATTAATTGTCAGAAGCTAGTGTACCTTGAAGATGATTTGGAGTTTAGAGCACTCGAGGAAGAGACTCTATCAACGTGGCATAATAGCGTAACCTGGGCACTGAATTAATTATATTTGCCTTTTAGCCTATGGAAAGTTCTAGAGTGTCGTTGCAGATGTCACCACGATTAAAAGTTCGCTCTTCGCTTAATGCTCTTCCTTCTTATTCTCCTGAGGCACCCTCCATCGGATCGATGAGCTGGAGATCAACAATTGCAGCAAATCATGCTGAAAACATTGCATGGTTAAATGTATGCTTCACCTTGACCTATAACAGTGTCTCTTTGCTAAATAGGGTGTTCCAATGTATGTAAAGTCATTGAACATATCTTGTGCTTTAATTCACTCTAAACTATTCGAATACCTCGCCGGACTACGAGAAATGCGGCATGAGAATATCAATCCCTTTATTGGGTGCTACATGACCCCCTGCTACTTTAGTCTCATGTTTGAGTATTGTTCTAGAGGCTGTCTGCAGGTAATAGTGTCCTTCTATTTTACCAGCATTTTACCGATTTTCAAAGGACATGATCAATAATAAAAGTATTAAATTTGATTGGATGTTCAAGCTTTCCTTATTGAGAGATCTGGTTCGGGTAGGCATCGTTGGCATTTAATACTAATAAACTAACCATTGATTTCGTAGGGGATGGAATACCTGCACAATTCAAATCTAGGTGTGCATGGAAGACTAAAATCATCCAATTGTGTTGTCAGTGGGCGATGGGCACTGAGAATAACTGATTTTGGAATTCCGCGTGTATTCACCCTAAATGGGTGTAGACCGCCCGAAAATATTGAAGGTAGTTGAATTAATTTCAATAATTTAGCGCGAAACTCACTCTAGAGAAGGTATGGACAGCGCCTGAACTCCTCCGTAACAATGAGGCTGCTCTTTATGGTACCAAACCTGGAGATGTCTATTCCTTTGCTATTGTAATGCATGAAGTCTTCTACCAGTGCAAACCTTATGGACCAGGTTCTTTTTTCCCGAAAGAAATAATCGAACGCGTTGCAAACGTAGAAACACCGCCTTTCCGACCAACAGTAAGAAAGCACAATTTGGTTATCCCAGATGTCATTAAACAGTATGGCCAATAGAAACTGGTTGAACTGGTTTTCCAGGAACATTTCAGCTGGATAAAATCAAAGATCACGAGATTAACGCCTAATGATTTGGAGGGCCAACTGCCCTGATTAATTCTGGCCAAAATGACGAGGTTGTACAACGAGGGTTTCTTATAGGCACTTGGCTGCATTATCCAAGTCATGAATTGGAAGCGCTTCCCCAAATAAGCTAGACCTCCCTTATTTGATAAAAATCTAGTATACTCAATTTCTCGTAGTTATAGAAGTGCGTCTGATCTTTTTCAAGGTAATATTTTTTTTCAACTGGCAGGCTTTATGATATTTATCATTAGCCCTTAAACTTTGACTTCAGCTTCCCCCATGGGTGGGGGGTACATATATAGCAGTTAATTAATAGCAGTTCATTAGCAGTCTTCTTGGTTCTCAGTATCTCTAGCTTTCCGTCCTTGTCTTTAGGACTGGACATCGAATCAGGTGGGTCTTCTCCATTTCCTCCTGTAGATTAAATAGGGGGCATGTGGGTTGAGTGTATACTCCCAATCTGTGAAGGTGTTTTGCCAGGCAATCGTGTCCGGTACGTAGTCTAAACTCAGCAACGGCTTCGATTCTTGGCCAGTCGGCTATGTCAGAGAGTGCCACTGTCCACTGTTTCTCCTTTGTTCGAGCTTTAAGTTCGTTGCATCTTGAGGTCTGGAATTCTCTCCGGATTAAGGCCTTCATTATGTGGAAAGACATCGGCCGGTCCATGCATTGTAAAATCGTTGTCCCCTTCTTAGCAAGTATGTCAGCATGCTCATTGCCTTTAATGCCACAGTGACCAGGAATCCATTGTAGGACCACTGTTTTGTTTTTCTCTCTCAGTAACTGATAGAGTTTTTACATTCGTATATCTCAGCTGTTTTGAATGGCTCTCTGTTTTCAATAGAGTTTAT